AGCTACTAGGGGCTCCTGGCATCGCTACTAGGAGCAAGAAGCTACTATGGTAAAAGCAAGAAGCTACTAGGGGCTCCCGGCATCTCTACTAGGAGCATGGACGCTACTAGGGGCTCCTGGCATCGCTACTAGGAGCAAGGACGCTACTAGGGGCTAGCAGTGCTCGCACTATTCATTTGTTCCTAGATGTTGAGGGAAACTTAACTATATGAAGGATGTTTCTGCAATGTTTGCGCAACATGGTTCTGGTGCAAATATGTGCAAATCGTGCCTTGGCAGCTTGGTAAAGGACTGGATGCGGCCCCATCTCCAGCACTACCGGAGATGCTCCTTGAAGCATCCCCTTTGCTTTCTCCAGAGCTTTTTCAAAATTCACAGGGGAGTTGCACCAGCGCTGCCAGTGATCTTCCGGTAGTTCCTCCAGTTGAGTCCCTGTGACTGCAGAGATGAAGATCCTGGAAGAACGTTGGCCGTGAGGAAGCGTCAGGGAGTCTGGCAGCTTGCATGCCTTTCAAAGAGAAGAATTACAAGAAAGAGATGATTTACTTTTGCACAAAAGTAGCGAAACGCAAAAAAACAGGCACGATGTAGAGCAGTAAGAAAGGGCCGGCGTACATTCACATCCAAAGTTGGAATGTGTTCGATAAAATGCTGCCAGCAAACCCGGTGATGCCAAGCATGCTCCGGTTTCAGAAGTGTGGCTTTCGAATCCTTGGCTAAGTACTCCTCAGCAGAACCAAGGCTACAAAGGGTCACGCTGAGCAAATCCTCCTCCTCAGTGGCTCCTCTCTTGATCACATAGTTCACCGCTGCCAACTGGAACCCATCCTGCATGCCACCATCTTCAGTCAAACACAACTACTCCAACACGAAAGCCAAAACCTTTCTTGGCAAACATGCGATTCAACCAACAAAGACCTATCAGATTGAAGCTTGCCCACCCTCCTTCCTACCTTGAAAGCACATAAGTGCTTGTGTAAACTACCTTAGTTTGGAGGCCATCGCTATTAGGTTGGAGGCCGTCGCTATTGGGTTGGAGGCCATCGCTATTAGGTGGGAGGCCAAGAAAGGTCCAATATCGCTTGCTATTTGGTTGGAGTCTTAGTTTGGAGGCCATTACTAGTAGGTTGGAGGTCATCGCTACTAGGTTGGAGGCCAATGCTAGTAGGTTAGAGGCGAGGCCATTGCTATTAGAAACAAGGACACAAGAAAAGGACCAAAGGTGTAATATCCTTTGCTATTAGGTTGGAGGCCATTGCTATCAGGTTGGAGGCCATCGCTATTGGGTTGGAGGCCATCGTTATCAGGTTGGAGGCCGTTGCTACTAGAAACAAAAAAAAAGAAAAGGAAGAAAGGTTGGAGCTGACAGCATGGGAGAACTGACGTCGCATCTCTGGCCTCAGTTGGCAAACATTTTCGTTGCATTTCCGTGTGGAGCATCGTTCCCTTCATCTCCAACATGGCCAAACCAAGATGATAAGCGCAGCTGATGGCCTGCCCTGCTGTGAAGATGCCAGCGGCATAGGCAGCAGCGACTTCACCCACGGAGTGACCCACGACCACCGAAGGCACTTCTCCCCACCTTGAAAAATGATGTTTTCACTGTTTCTTTCTGGCCCGCCTTTGCTTATCTAAGTAGATGCCTACTTGATCAAGTAAGGACCACGTCAGCTCCTATGTAGGACGCAGGATAGCTCGCGTTTTTTGAAGGAAACTCTCCCGCCTAAGGGCGGGGGAGTTTCCTTGAAGAAGCGCCCACGCTATTCTAATATGGTCGCTAGAAACGCCGAGGACCAAGAAGGTTTCAAAGAAGACCGGAAAATTAAACAGTTTGGAAAGCGAACAATTTTTCCAAAAACCGAACAGGTGAAGATGGAGTGATGACACAAAACATTTATGTTGTGGTTGGTCCCCGGCTGATACCGCCCTTGCACTTGTGCACTTTGGTGTTCGCTTGTCAGGTGGGGCGGGGTGGGGTGGGGTGGGGGTAATGACGTGCTGGTATGATGTAAGGATGCACTTATAGGTGCCTCACAGTGTCTCCTCACTGTGTCTTCCATCGCGAATTACAATGTACATTTGTCAATGCGAGCTGTTTTGAACCACGAAGGCCTCAAGTGCGAAATCCTGTACATGTCGTATCGGAGTTGAGTAGATTGTTTTACGTACTCCTCCTTGACGATGTGAGCTAAGTGTCGTGCTCACTTCGTCACTTCTAAAAGGGAACCTCACTACTGTCAAGGAAGTCCATATGGCGTTCCATTCTCGCGTACATCTCTGCTTTGGATTCATGTTCATTCATCTCATTGAGTTCAAACCATCTCTTCTCAAACTGCAGAGAGTATTGTTTGGCTCGCAAGCAGGACCTGGCGGCTGGCTTGTCGTGCATCTGTAAGCCACCTTGTTGTTGGTGCTGACAAAGTCAAATCCTCAAACTCCAGGTCTCTGCTGCCACTGCCACGTGCTTCCCCTGTTCGATCTGGTACCCTTTCTGGCTCTGTCTCCATAGGTACCGGTCCCTCATTCTCACTTTCTGGTTCGCGAGGTTCAAGGTCACCTGCCCTCACTGTCACCACTTGTCCAGCTTCGAGCCTGACTTGTACTAGATCATCTGGATCATGTTCTCCTTCTTCACTTTCTTCACTTCCCAAGGTGTTGTCTCTCAAGGTGTTGTCTCGAATGTTCAGGTGTCGACGTGTCTGCTCAACATTTCTCTGAAGGTAATCCTTGATCTGCTTGTCAAGCCTTCTCATGTCGAACTCCTTGTTGGTATCCTGGAGGTAGTCCCAATGCCTCCAGTCTTCCATCAAGACTTCATCATCGTCAACATAGCCTGAAGCTTTGATCAAGCCTCGATGCACTTTCTCCACATACTTCTTCACCTGAGCTATTGCTTCCTTCGTCTCATGGCCATAGGCTCCCACCATCATGCCGTCAACCTTCACATCATCAACCACTTGTTGAAGCCTTGTCTCCATTCTCTCAAGCTTCTTCCAGAGCTGGTAAATGCCGAAGATCAGCACGGCAATCACCACCATCAGGATCACAATGAATGCCCATAGCCACTGACTGTGGTTGGTCACGGTGACATCCTCCTCTTTGCTCACCCTCTCACCAGCCACATGCTCAAGGCCTTCCAACAGCAAGATTCTGTTGAGCAGTTTTGCAAGCCTCTGGATCTTGCTGCGACTCACACTGCTCTCTTCAAGTCGTTGTTGCTCTTCTTGTCCAATCCTCTCTCCATCACCATTGTAGATCTGGCACCAATACAGGATGAGGTTCACCCTGGCTTTGGCTAGCGGCTTGGTGCCTAGGTCAGCGACATTGGCAACTGTTCCTACGGCCTTGACTTCAAGATCTCCCTGTGCAACCATGTCCTGAATCCACAACAATTTGCCAGCAATGTGCCGAAGTTTGCCTGGGCCCTTCCTGTGACACAGATGCAATGCCGCGGAGTTGTCCACCAAACAATGGTGCACCACCTTCTCCTCCATGAGAAACTCCAAGCACCTTCTCAGGTAGATCCCGTCGGCTGCTCCACTCACAAGAGCATTTAGCTCTGCTTCAGCAGAACTCAAGGAAACTGACTTTTGGCCTCTAGAACTTGCCAAGACAACGTTCCCATTCACCATGTGCACCGCTGCTGGCGTTGACCTTCTATGCCCTTTTGCTCCTGACCAATCACTGTCCGTGAAGGTTTCAAGCAACCATCTTGAAGTAGCTGTTCTGGTGGCATGTCCGTGTCCTGGTTCTGGATACGGAAGAAGACTGTATTGTCCAATTGTTGCTTTCAAATAGCCAACCAGCTTCCCAAGCTTCCTCAAACTCCCTGTCGTTGGGCAGGCCATCGAGGATGCCAACTCCTTGATTGCAAAGGACACATCCATCCTCTCTTGAGACAAGTAAATGCCACAGCCAACCAGGGATCTGAAGAGACTGGCCAACTCTCCACTCACCATGGACGTTCCATCTTGCTCGAGCATCTCAGGTCCACATGGCAATTTCTGGATCTTGGCTCGGCCCAATTGAGACTCGTATTGCTCGATCATGTTCTCGGCATATTTACCTGGCAGAATCTTCAACCCTTCTGGTGCTTGCTCATAGGTTCTCCTCAGGAAAGAAAAGGTCGTGCCATCTCCTGACAAGTGCTGCTCCGAAATGTCAAAGCTCTTCTTGATGTCAGGCAGGAAGATCTCCTCCACATATTCTCGACTGCCAAGGTAAAGAACATCATCTACATGGATCAGCACCATCATACGGTCTTCCTTTCTCCCAAGACATGGATTGATGTCCGAGAACTGGAATCCTTTCTTCCTCAACCAGTCCGTGAAGTAGTCAAACCATGCTTTGGCTCCTAGTCTCTGACCTGGCAGGTTGCGTTTCACCTCATAGTGGCCCCTGGCGGTTCTCACCTGTGTTGGCTCCTCCTGAGGCACTTGGAGGAAGGCATCTTTCACATCCATTGAACCCAGCCAGAACTCCTCACCTCCATCTCGCTCTTCAAGCTTCTTCATGAGGTAGATGATGGGCAACAAACGCAACGTCTGTCCTCCGGTTGCTGGGCTGTGCACGGCATCTCGCCTATCCACTGCATATTCTCTAGCAACCAATCTGGATCTTCTGAGGAACTGCTTGGGTGGCAAGTCTTGACGAGGCTTCACTCGCCAGTCCCTGACAAACCTTGTCGTCAACTTCTTGAAACCTGCCTTTTCCTCCTTCATAGCTTCCAGGACTCCCATCCTCAAGAGTCTCTGCTCTTCCACCTCATCTGCCAGATCATCGATCCAAGCTGGCGGATCTGCTGGAATTCTGTCCAAGGGTGCTTCTGACCACAACTCTTTGGGAATCATCGTCGATGGGGTCTCCTCCTCTTCTCCATCCCAAGACAAGAACTCCTCCTCACCAAAGAACTGGTCCATGTGGTAGTACACCTCAGTTCCTACTTCTGTCGCTTGCACCCTTCTCTCGATATGCGGTTTCTCCTCTCCAACCTTCTGCCTCTTTGTCTCTGAGCTCTCACCTTCACTCTCATGCACAAGCTTGAAGGTAGTGAACTTCAACCTCTTCGCATCTCCTTCATCGCCCGTCATGCCGAGGCTACTCTTATGTGCTGGGCTTCTCGAGGTAGTGCTAGGCATCGAAGGTCCAGCTTGGTTGTTCATGTCATCAACCACATTGGGATCCTTTGCTCTGGTTGGTGGCAGACTGACACTCTCTTCTACATAGTCCAGCTTCTTGTCCTCCACGATCTTCTGTTCTTCACTCATCTCCTGGGCTTGAAGTTTCTCTTTCTCAACCACTTCGACCAAGTCCTTTGCCTCCTCCAGCTTTCCCGCATAGGACTTCGAGAAGGCTATGACCTCCTTGGCATCCTCATCATGCAGAGACTTGCTAAGGAAGACTCTGTTTCCATCTCCGATGACCCATGCATCTTGCACCTCTGTCTTCCCCAAGCAAATGCCCACCTTCCACTTTGGGTCTGCTTTGAAGCCCTGCTTTTGCTTCGTGTAGGCGAACACCACTTCTCCGAAAGGACACATCTTGCCATCGTAGGCTTTGCCATGAGTCAACTCAAAGCTCGTTGTTCCTCTCAGCACCTGATAGCGGTTCAGGGTCCATGCAGCATGGCGGCACGCCCAAGACCATAGTGGATGTTGGTGCTGAAATCGCAAGCCAATCTTCTCCGCCAGACTCTCCATCATCGAAGCTGCAAGACCCCTTACCCTCTGAACTGCATTCTCAGCCAAAGAATTGCCAGCTGAGTCATAGAGCTTCGTTGTCCTCATTGTAGTCTTCAATCCCATAGCTGTCCTTGAAGACACCAAGAGGCGAACAATCTGCCTTGCTGTAGGTTCGTTATCGCAGTAATACTGCACAGCTTCATGGCCTAGGATCTGAGTGAACGCAAGCAGCTCGTGGGCGATGAGGTTCATCTGGTTCTTTGTTTTCAAGGGCAAACCCAACAGCGAGCCTGTTTCTGAGCATACCGCAACCATCAGCAGCGCTCCACTTTCATCATCTTGGACACCCTCCTGAGCAGCATCCTCTTCTTCTGCTCCAATCGCTCCTGAACCCTTGGCTTTCACCTTGCAAAAGTCGAAGGAGATTGTTGGGACTCCTTGGTCATGAGACTTCCCCGTCCTTCTGTGTTGATCAGGACGAGCTCGATGCCTGATGCAGGCAGGACACCATGGAGCGTAAGGGACATGAGTAAGTTCATGGGCTTTCCGCTCTGCTTCTGTCGGGACCTTTGCTGTCACCTGCTCCACTGGAATCCTCTGCCCCATTGCCTGACCTCGAGCAGCTAAGTCTTTGGCCATCATCAGCTCGAGTGCACCTTGATGAGCCACTAGCCGACTGAAGCATTTCCTTTTTCCTCCACTCTGTCCGATCCTGTAGAAAGCACAAGCAGCTCTCAGGTTCCTCCGGGGGCTGTCGACTGTCAGTGGGACCTCGTTCACTCAAATCTCCTCTGGAAGTGCAACACCAATCTCATAGTGCACCATCTGCTCTTCCAAGTCACGACCAGGGTTGGGCTCGTCATCTCCACCTGGAATGTCTGCACCATCGAATTCTTCCATC